TGTACTTAGTTTTACATCTCTGTCTTAAGACCTTCCCATAAGTATTTCTAGGATTCCCCACGGGTGTCTTGCCACCAGGTGGCAGGGGGCCCGAGAGTAAATGGCTTGTTTTCTTGATGTCTTAGAGCAGTGGTTCTCAACCTGGGCTGCACATTAGAATCACCTGGGAATCTTTTTAAAATCCTGAATTCCGGGCCTCATCCTCCGGCAATTCTGGTTGTTACTCATGTTGTGGCCCCACCCCATCACAAAGAAACAGAATTTCCGGAGGATGAGGCCCAGAAATCAGGATTTTAAAAAGATTCCCAGGTGATTCTCATGGGCAGCTGAGGGTGAGAACCACTGGGTTAAACAGTAAAAAGCTTCAGGGTGGAAACAGTTCGCAGCAGCACCGTCCGACCTCTCGCTCTAGAAGCTGAGCCTCCGACAGAAAGCGGCTCAGAGCCCATGGAGGTGGCGAAGCAGGAACCCCAGGACGAGGAGCAAGCCAAGCCGCCCCCCAGAGCTCCCAAGATGCTCAGCAGTTTCTTCAGTGAGTTTCTCCTCCTGTCTCCCCTCAGGCTCCTAGGCCTTCCTGTGTTAGGAAGTCTGATTACTGCGTCTCCTGCCCAAGATGCTCAGCAGTTTCTTCAGTGAGTTTCCCTTCCTGCCTCCCCTCCCCGGACGGTGCTGGGCGGAGGCGGGCCAGCCTCTCTCCAGCGAGAGCCGCAGGCCCCTAGGCCTTCCTGTGTTAGGAAGTCTGTTTACTGCGTCTCCTGGCTTGTCGCTGGCTACTGAGAGTCGGGGAGGGGTGTGGGATGGGGCTGTCAGGAGGACCCACAATTTCTGGCTTCCTTCCCAGCCCCCCGGAAGCCGGCAGTCAAACAGGAAGTGAAAGAAGAGGGGCCTGGCACCCCAAGAAAGGAGGCGTCCAAGGGGTGAGTCAGCGTCTGTTGAGTAGAGAGGACAGTGATTGAAAAGATCCACTGTCCTCTACTGGGGATGTGCCCGCAACCAAGGTACATGCCCTTGACCGGAATCGAACCCGGGACCCTTCAGTCCGCAGGCCGGCGCTCTCTCCACTGAGCCAAACCGGTCAGGGCAGCGAGCTCCTTTTCTTGAACGCATGCTGTGTCAGGTCCAGCTACAGGCTCTCTTCCTCTGCAGCAGTCCTGCGGAGGAGGCGGGTAGGGTAGCCTTTTCACAGGCGTTGGATCCAGAGCCCAGAGAGGTTAGGTCGGCTTCCCCGAGTCCCACAGGGAGGTGGGGGTACGGCCAGGCCTGGGACTCATGTCCCCTGATTCCTAAGCCTGGGCTCTCCCTTCACCGCTGCCCCGTCATGCCTCCTGGGCATGCGTCTGTGCTGGTGCATGTAACCGACGTTTCTCTACGTTTCTCTACCGTAGACACGTCTTACGTCTCCTTCCTTATTTCCTGTGATACTGCGACCCTGTTTCTTACCTCACTCCCAGCCCGATCACTTGTCTGTCTGATGGCTGCCTATAGGCGACAGGCCGACCTACAGGACCTCCAGTTTCCTCACCTTTGAAGTGGGACGTTGATGACAGGAAGTTAACATCCACCGTTATCGTGTCCCAGGCGCTAGGCCGTGGGCCTCTGTGCTCCTCACGGCATCAGGATGTGTCGATGCTGTGGGTACCCTTTTTGCAGCGAGGGGAGTGAGCGTGGAGGCAGGGCAGCGTGGAGAGCCGAGAGCCCAGCTCCACCCTTGCCAGCTGTGTGGCCTCGGGAGTGACGGCCTCTCTGTGCCCCTCTCCCCCTGAGGGCGAAGCATGTAGACTAGGCTCTGGCTCCGGCAAGCTCAGCAGGTTAATAGCCGCTGTTATCACCGTTATTACTATTACTTGATTTTGGGGCCTTGCTTAGGCCGCAGACGGGGAGTGTGGCAGCGTTGGGATTCGAAGCAGGCAGTCTGGCTGTAGTTTCTTACCCAGCATGCTCTGCTGCCTCTTGTTGAGGTAAAAATAGAAACAGCCAGGACGGCTACACTTATTCAACATGGAGTCTGTACAGGTCACTGTGCACAGCCCTGCACCTGTTCCGTCCACAGTCCTGTCTGCAGGAGAATCGGCGGAAGACCTGAAACATCTGGAGTCTTCCATGTGCCCTTCGGTCCCCAGTTTTGGAATAGATACAGGCCTGAGGCTGGGAGTCAGGGTTACATTTATTTATTTAAAATATCTTCACCGGAGGATACTTTTTTCCATTGACTTTTTAGAAAGAATGGAAGGGGGGGCGGGGCGGGGGGAGGGAAGGGAAGAGAGAGAGAGAAACATCGAGGAGAGAGAGACATTGATTGGTTGCCTCCTGCATGTGCCCGCACTGGGGTCGGAGATCAAACCTGCAGCACAGGTACCTGCCCTTAACCGGGAATCGAACCTGCGACCCTTTGGTTTGCAGGCAGATGCTCTAACCATTTAGAAACACCGGCCAGAGCATCAGTGTTGTGTTTCAAATAATCCCCACAAAATGCACCTTGCGAGAATCCTTACCCTATTTCTTCCTTAACCCGTATGACAGCATGTCACTAGGATTTCGGTGGCTTCATTGTACAGAGGGAGACACTGGTTTGGGGACGGAGGCCACTTCTCCAGGTGACACTGCTGGTTGGTGCCGCAGCAGGGATTTGAACCAGACGGTCTGGCTGCAGTCGGGGCTGTGCTGGCTCTGACAGGGTCAGCGTGAGGCTGTGATGTGGGGGTCAGAGCAGCCTGGCGCCCTGCTACTAGCTGTGTGACCGGGGGGAACTGCTTCACCACTCCGGGCCCCAGTTTCCTGGTCGGGAAAATGTAGAAGAGCCGTACCTGCAGGACGGATTGCTAACAGCTGTGTGCTCTCAGCACAGGGCCTGGCACTCATGGCACCCTGTGACCTCACCCTCGTGCTGCCCACCCAGAGTGAGCGGGGGAGGGGCTGGTGAGAGGCCCAGAGGGATCGTAGGTCTCGTAGTGTGGACTCCAGAAACCATGCTCCACTGTAACCACGTGGACCCCTTTTCTGTTCCTCAGACGTGTTGAGTGTGTCTCTACCTCAGGGCCTTTGCACTCGCTGTTCCCCTGCCTGGGATGCTCGCTTCCCTGATAAACACTCCGCTCACCCTTCACGTCATTCTGCTCAGATGTATCTGCTCAGGCCTTCCCCCACCCCCCTCAGAAGTAGCATCTGTCAGCCCGCTTTCTCCCTGTACTGGTTTTGTTTTGTTTTCTGAAACATTTTTTATTATCTAAAGTTACCTGTTTGTTTTCTCCCCCAGACTCTATCTTCAGTTACGTCCGGGCCTAGAACAGTGCCTGGCCGTGGCAGGTGCTCAGGAAACGTTAGTCGGAGGAGCGGGCTTCTCTTCAACCCAGCATCTCCCCCATCTAATCTCCCTTTTGCCTCCGCAGCCCCCGATCTCTATTATCCATGAATGAGTGAGATCATGTGGTATTTTTCCTTCATTGACTGGCTTATTTCACTTAGCATAATGCTGAAATATTTTTTATTATCTACAGTTACTTGTTTATGTTTTCTCCCCCAGACTCTCCCACTCGGATGTGAGCTCCAGGTTAGCAAACTATTTTCATTTACTTCCGGGCCTAGAACAGTGCCTGGCCATGGCAGGTGCTCAGGAAACGTTAGTCGGAGGAGCGGGCTTCTCTTCAACCCAGCATCTGTCCCTGGCCTGGCAGTCCCTCTCCTCCTCCTCCAGGCTCCGGATGGTGGAGACGCTGAGCAACTTGCTTCGCTCCGTGGTGGCCCTGTCGCCCCCAGACCTCCTCCCCATCCTCTACCTCAGCCTCAACTGCCTCGGGCCCCCCCAGCAGGGCCTGGAGCTGGGCGTCGGGGATGGTGTCCTCCTCAAGGCGGTGGCCCAGGCCACAGGTGAGCAGGGGCTGTGGTGGGCATTCCGCGGGTGGGTCTGAGATGGTGGAGAGGCGGGAGGGTCTGAGATGGTGGAGAGGGCTCAGAAGGCAGTGAGTGAAGGGGACCTGGGACAGATGGCAGGGTGTGAGGGCGGTGCAGGTGAGGGAGGCCTGGGCGGAGGGGAGCGGCTGGGGAAGATGCCGCAGGCAGAGCGCAGGATTTGGGGGCGGGCCTGGGGGTTGGGCTTAGGCAGGTAATGGAGCTCCTAAAGGACTGAGCAGTAGAGCCCGGAGGGGCCCAGGGGTGAGGGAAGAGAGGGGTGTGGAGCCAGCGGCCTGCAGGGGCCGCGCCCATGTTTATGGAGAGGCTGGCGGTGTGTGTGGGGCGGACCTGCCTGCCAGGGCATCAGGGCTTGGTGTTTGTTGTGAGGGACTTGGGAGCCACAGACAGATTGTGAGCTGGCAAGGGGCAGGGGCCCGGGCAGTTCTGGGCCCGTGTGGAGCACGGACAGGAAGCTGGGAGTCCGGGGAGGAGGCTGGGGCGAAGGTCCAGGGGGAGGAGGAGCGGGGGCCAGGCCTGCAGGAGCAGAGGCGAGGGTGGCGTGGAGAGAGACAGGACAGGAGGGACCTGCGGGCTTGGGGGGTCAGGGATCTTGCTTGACTGGGAGGATGGCGGAACCACCACTGGGACAGGGCACTGGTGAGGTGGACACGTTCAGGGCAGTGCGTCGTTTCAGCGTGGGCCTGTGTCTGGGGGCCGCCGACACGTGGGGAGCCACGTCCTCAGCACATTCGCCCCCACTCGCGGGCGTCTCCTCGTGGCTGGGACGCCTGCCCAGCCGCAGGCTTGTGAGAGTTGGGCAGCATTTTGGAAACGCTGCCACCGTCGAGGTTGTGTCTCCACGTCACACGCAACAAGAGGGTGACACTTGTCGCTGTCCCTTCCGTGTGGTTCCACGTACAGGCACGAGCCCGACCACTCCGCCTCGCCTGCCCCTCCTGGTGGGCGGGACGCCTGCCCAGCCGCAGGCTTGTGAGAGTTGGGCAGCATTTTGGAAACGCTGCCACCGTCGAGGTTGTGTCTCCACGTCACACGCAACAAGAGGGTGACACTTGTCGCTGTCCCTTCCGTGTGGTTCCACGTACAGGCACGAGCCCGACCACTCCGCCTGTCTGCTCACGCCTTGCAGCGCCGGGGCCGGAAGTGCCTGTTTCCTTCTGAGTTGCTTTCCCTCCATTCCTGTGTGTGAGAGTCAGGACTGTATCGAAATGACGTGTCGATAGGGCGTCAGCTCTGCGTTTCTTTTCAGCGTAGAACAGAGAGACCTTAGCACTGAGGCACTTTAGCGGTGAGGTGCCAAGGACGGGGCACAGCGGGCAGTGGCTGCAGCCTCCCAGCTGCCTGCTCCCAGCCTCTGCTGTGAGGAAAGGGGCGGTTGCTCTGATGGGGTGAGAATGTGGTCACAGCTGTGGCAACTCACGGTCTCCTCTCTCTAAAATTAGTAAATAAAAATTTAAAGGGTAACAAAAGAAAAAGCGAAGGCCTTTTGGACACTGTGGGAGAGTGTCCACGGTCAGCTAGGGGGCCGCCACTTCCCAGCCCCCGGCTCTTACAGCGAGGGGTGCCCGCGGGCCCAGTCTGGGCAGTGAGTGAGGCCAAGGCACATCTGTGTGTGTAAATTGGTGACTTAAAGTTCAGCGTGGCCCTGGCCGCGAAGCTCCGTTGGTTAGAGTGTCTGATACACCCAGGCTGCGGTTCGATCCCCGGTCAGGACACGTACGGGAATCGACCAATGAACGCATAACTAAGTGGAGCAACACGTCAATGTTTCTCTCTCTCTCTCTCTCTCTTTCTTTCTTCCTCTCCCTGTTTCTTCCTCTCTCTAAAATTAGTAAATAAAAATTTAAGGGGTAACAAAAGAAAAAGCAAAGGCTTTTTGGACACTGTGGGAGAGTGTGCACGGTCAGCTAGGGGAAGGCAGAGGGTCCTTCGGCCTCCTCTG